TAGAAGAAATAAACAAATGCAAATTTAACTTCAATTTCTAGAAATTCAATATATATATTAGTTTTATCCAAAGATGAATTTAAGAAATCTGATAGTATTATAAATCTTGTGTTTATTTTCTATTTTGACTACAACAAAATAGTTTTTCTTATGTTGTCTGAAGTTTTAGAATGTTGAGTATTCTATTATTGAATTTTTACTTCCATAGCAAAGTAATATAAATTTTACAATTTAAAAGGATACATTGATGGAGCCACTACTCTTTTATGAATGCCCATTAGAAAAAGTATGATCAATATGATGCTACTGATGGTAAAAAACAAGTGATTCAGTAAAGACTCTAGCAAGCCGACCTATAATAAGTTTTCATTTGAAATTCTATATAAGATAAAAATGTACTTATTGTAAAAATCTTTTAAAAAAATAATTTACATAAGTATTTAAGATCTTACTTGAGAAGTGTGAGGATCCATTAACCATAATCCCGCTCCAATCAAAGTGAAGGATGCACATACAGCAAGAACAACTAAATAGATAAAATCAGAAATTCAAACAACTGAAACTTATTATTTTATGATTAAAATATTCTTACTTCTCCATCTTTTTGCCTGAGGCTGTAGATAACCAATTACTTCAGTAAGTCTTCTTTCAAATGCTTTTAGATCTTTAATGTAAATATATTTCTATTATTATTTTTTAAATAATTAGAAATGTTTTAAAATTATTATTTTAACAATATTTATGATTAAATACATTAAAGATGATAAAGATGTGAGAGCTGAATTTATTAGAATAAATTGTTAAATATGTTTTTTGTACGAGGAACAGTTTAGAGGAAAAAAAAAACAACAAACCGATATTTAAAAAGAACATAAAACTTTTTTCCCACAAACTTAATTCCGTGTTGAGGATGATACATCCAATGTGTCACCCGGAATCTACGAAAAGACGAAAGAAAACAACTGGATGGAGGCAGTGGAAAAACCCAAAGATACCCCCTTTTTAAAAAGGAGGGGTCAATGCGTAAGAGTCAGTCTCTGGAGTTTGGTGTGAACTGTGGATTTATGTGAATGGATTAGCCGCTACCCGGAACTATTCTAATCACCGCCGTTTGGGAGGATCACCACCTACAGAAGTATCAACGTTCGAAAGAACTTTGTGCCACATAGAAATCAAATATCAACGTTCGAAAGAACTTTGTGCCACATAGAGACTAAAGGACTGAACGACTATTCGACAACTTATATCAAGGTATTTATCCTCGCGCAAAATACATGTGAGCTCTCTCTCTCATTAATACTGGTAATCAGGAAGAAAGCAGATATGTTAACTGAATTGATTGTATATAGCTTAAAGAGAACAATAAACGGGGATTATGTATAGATTATGTAGAGTGTAATTCCTCTGATTCTCTCTTTACGCCTCCATCTCGGAACTAAGAGTCCACATATGCGACTGCTCACGTGTAAATTCGAACGTAACGGTCTCTGTGTCTACCCAGAAAACACAGTGGTGTCAGTCCTGATAAATTTGTCATTGCAGTCTTCGCTGACGCAATGTCGACTCTTCGGTCCTGTGGTGCCGAAGTATAGAGGGGACCCTTTGGCATTGTCACAAAGATATAAGAAAACTTTCAGTTTTAAAAATCTGAAATTGAGTCAGTAATAGACATTAAAAAGCAAAGATAATCAATACCAAAAAGGAAGATGACCTAGATCCATAGACATGGGCATTAACAAGGATGAAGTGTAGTAACCATAATGAATAGATTAAAAATGGCTTGTGTTTGGGACTGTTGAAATCTTTATTGTTGCTTCTTTAGTTTATACTTTGTATACTTACTTAAAAAGTAATCAATATTGGTTAAATTTAAGTACTTTTCAAATTCCTTATTACATAATTTCATTCTTTATACTTAAGAAAAATATTCTATTTAGAATGTTGAGTTTATAATGTTACTTTTTCAAGCAGTCATGATAATGGAATTATAAATATTTTGAAAACATTAATCTTTATATAATTAAAACATTTTCCAGCTCCTTAAGTGCTGAATGTGTATTTGGTACATTTAATTCTCTAATTGTTTAGTATTATCTGAATTAGTCATTATTAGAGCTCATCATAATATTTTACAGATATGGCCTTCCTTCATGATGTCTGTTTACAGTGGCAGTAGGAAACTACTCAGTACCTCAATATCTCCCTTTAATATATCTGAACTTGTCACTTAGAAATGATAACTGAAATTCTGATAATTGTTAGATGTGATTACACAGTTGATAACTTACTGAGAAGTAACAATGGAGATGCAACATACCTTTCTGAATGAATGACACAAAGATAATTTTGTCCAATTCACTCAGATCACAGTCCAAAATAAGCTGTAATGTTCTTCCTTTAAAGTATCACTGAATCAGGAGACATATTAAGTAAGTTGTCCATTGATCAGATAAGTTGTCCATTGCTATGGCATCATGATATTGCACCAAGGGTAACTTATACATATTCATAGTAATCTGCATTTTTTATTTTTTCTGTCTTTTTCTGTCTTGATAAAGAGAGCCTTTTATCAAGCTCAGTGTGGAAGCAACCAAATGGTGAGGGATGAAGCTTGACATATCTGGGATAGACCACTTTTGAATTCCTAGGGATTTTTGACTCAACCAGTTTCTTTCCCAGGTCCTCCAGTGCAGTTGGCAGACACCTTAACTGCTCAGCTAACTGCTTGTCAATGGCAATTGATACTTTAGAAAGTTTAAGGATGAGATACAATACTGCATTTCTTGACTCCACAATACAAATGGCACCTGTGAAAATGCAAGTACTTTCAAGACTGACACCACTATAAATGTTTTCTCTGAATGTTTTGTGTCCAATGCTTTTTCTTCTATTTCAACAATACTGCATATTTTAATTTACATTTTTATACTGAGTGTTATTAGTTATTGAGAAACAAATAGCAATAAAAAGTAGCTTAATGGTGAAAACAAGAAAGAAATAATTGAAAATAAAAAAGTAACTCATTTAAAGCCCTGTTTTTTATATAATTTTCATTAATGTCAATCTTCATGAATTAAAGAAAATACAGTGGAATCTCATTATAATGAAGTTTAGAATAATGAACTTTTCAAAATAAACTTTTAGATTTTTCCCAACCTAACCTCCATAAGAAACAATAAAATCTTTCAATTCTATGAATATATTTATAACAAACTTTCAGTTTAACATTTCCTTTCTCTCAGTTCTATGGCAATAGAATTCATGCAATTTTCATTTCACATAACAACCTCATTACAGCTTCTTTCCCTCTTTGCTATTGTTTTCCTACTAGTAAAGAACTGTATCCAAGGAAAAGGAATGAGCTCAAAAGCAACTAATTAGTTGTAAATGTACTAACTTCAAGAAGAGCCACAAATAACAAATCATAATACAGGCATAAAGATGCTGCTTATGTTTCTTTTAATTTATCTTATTCTTCAGCATGAGGGTAAGATGGCACTGAAAGACATCCAGAAGAAAAAACATTGCCAGGCTCCTTCTAGTCAGTCCTCAACAGTGTTCTTCAACATGGGTCTGTGGATCAGCCATTGGTCTATGAAAATTTTCATTGACTAATACTACTAAAGAAGAAATGATATGAAATATAGCTTCCTGAATAGTTTCAACAAAGGTAAGAAACATATTAGGTAAACAAACAAATGAAATTCAACAATTCAATTAATAGGCACTAATAAAGACAACAACAACAAAACACTTGAAACTGAAGAAAAAATTTATTTAGCTGATAGATGGGTCAAAATATTTAATGAAATGCACAAAAAAGATTTTGAATTCCAAGATTTTAATAATTTGATAAAATTAGTCCTTTGTTTCAACAAGAACTATAATTTCTGTGGAAAATATATTTTCACTCATGAATTCCTATGATCAAAGGAGAAGTCAAAATTAAATATTGAAGCCATTAAAGCAAGGTTAATCATAAAGCAAAACTGCAAATTACAATGAGTTTTATGATAAAATTGTGAGTGACCAGAACAAAATAAGTTCATCTGAAAAATATGTTTGGTTTGATGTAGGAAACCTTCTATATCATCCTATTAAATTTTTTTGATATATTATAATAGAAATATTACTCTCTCATTATTAGATATTCAAAAATAAAATATTTTAGAGAAATTTACATATTACTTTTTACAACTCCAAATCAATATTTGTAATATTGTAGTAACAAATTGTTAATAATACCCATCTATATTTCTTGATGAAATTTTAACAAGAGTTGGCCTGTACTTATAAGCCGTGGCTCCTCCATCCAGTTTCACTATCAAGAAATTATTGTCATCCTAGTTATTGTATTATATTTCTATTAGGTCAGAAAATTCAGAAAACTTGTGACACATTGTTTCAACAAATAATGCAACATTCAGAAATTATGCAATGTACTTGGCAAATATTGTTCTTGCTACATTTTTACTTTTATATAATTTTATCTCTTTCACAATATAAAATAAGATTAATATATTCTAAAACAAAATCATATACTCAACAAAACAAAATCTTTATTATGAATGTCTGTTTTAAGAATTTTAAATTGAATAAATTTGGAAAAATAGTTTTGCATTTGTCAGAAATTATTATATAAAAATTTTCAAATAAAACTGACTATATTCTTATCAAAGTAATTTTGATGTAAATTTTTTCATTATTATTTATAAGGTATAATCCAAAAATTTGGGAATTTGATGTGTAGTTTATTTAATTTAAAGCACCAAGCACAATCACCATAATTCTCTTAGATGACAATACACTTTTGTCAGTATCAGTACAGATTCTGGAAGCATTGATCTAAGCCATCTTTTGCAACCACCATAATGTCTCTTATAATGCTGCTTTTACCTCATTTGATGATTCAAAATGACATCACTACAAATGATGTTTCATCAGTAGAAAGAGGTAAAAATTGCAAGGAGCTAAGTTGTGTGAATAGACAAGACATGGAAGCTTGTTAGTACCATTTCTGCTACAAAACTCTGACCATTATGGACCAATGTTCAGGTGTGTTGTAATGGAAAAGGTACCATTGTCTACTTCACAACATAACATGACATTTTATCCATCATAAATGCTGGCATGAGTCCATCAGTCATAAATGGCCTGAGATTCCAACTGCCAGACATCAATCCAAAAGTAAATTTATGGGATGAACTTGAATGAAGAATTTGAAAACGTAATATTAAAAAAACAGAATGGGAGTGAAACTGTCCCAGAATATACTGCAGAACTGGTTCAGTCAATGCTGAAGAGATTAAATCCTGTACTATGTTCAATAGAAGATCCAACTAAACATTATATTATTGAATTCTGTATTTCCAATAACATTTCATTTGTCCAAATGTTAAATTCAGATTTATTTCAACAACTTTCACATTGCAACAATTTCATTTTTTAAAATAAGTTTTTGTTTACAATTTTAGTTTTTCTTTATTAATGTTTATGACATCTATACACTTACTGTGCACAGATATAAACAGAATAAGCAAAATAAACTCATCTATATATATATATTTTTTTTATAGGTTACAGTGGTACTGTACCTCAGGATACAAAATTAATTTGTTCCGAAACTAAAATCGTATCATGAAAATGTAGTTTTCCCCATACGATTACCTGTAAAACCAAATAATTCGTTCCAACACAAAAAAAAAAAACACTCAAATTAAAGCTAAGTAGTACATTAAAAAAAAATAACTATAATAAGGAAAACATTGAAAAATGCATTCTGTAGTTGTAAATGTATAAATAACCATAATGGAATAATAATTGATAAAAAAAAAATGTAGTTTTATTTGCACTTTACCTTTGAGGATAAACAACGGTGGAAATGTAAACTGGCAGAGGTTTACACCTCCGCCAGTTTACATTTCCACCGCCACCATTTAAACTGATGGCGGAAGAGAGGGAAGTGTAAACTGGTGGCGGATGAAAACTTAACTTACATAACATGTAACAATAACTTAAGCATAACTTAGAAAAGATAAAAAAATTAGTGTTGTTTTATATATATTTTTTAAAATTTTTATTCACTTCTTTTTCCTTTCTTTCCTTCACTTCCACCAGCACTTTCACTGGATAGAGGTCACTTGGTAAAATATCTATCCAAAGAGGTTTGGCTTTGCCTACTTTTTAAAATGTTTCTAAAATGACTTAGGCAAATGTCATTAAACTGAGCAGCAATACGGCCAGTGTGAACCTTTTCAGGATGTTTCTTTTCTATAAAATCAATCACTTTCTGATAATACTTCAGGATTCCTTTATCGAGCGAGATCCTTCCACAATGAAGCAAACACGCAGACTGAGACCAATGAACAGAAGTGAATAAAAAATGTCGCTGTGAACTAATGTAATGTCGTATGGTGAGTTTTTGTTTGTATCATGGAGCAAAAATATGTTCGAATTTCATGTTGTATCCTGAAAATTTTGTATGCTGAGGCGTTCGTATGATACGAACATCCTGAGGTACCACTGTATTTCTTATAAGTCTCTCTTGAATATTAAATGAAATCATTTTATAATAAATGTTACCTTACTTCAAAATTTCTTAAATGGTACTTTTTTTAAAATTTGAAGTTTAGTAGCATCTTCCTCATATACATTGCAAATTGTTTTTATTGTTTGGATGGCATTATATCCTTTCCAAAACTCACAAATCATATACCCAATATGCATTTTATTTGAAGACATTTCAACTTGATGTTATTCAAACAAAATATGAAGAAATAAATTTAAGCTTTTAAACAACAATGTTCTTTATAATTGAATGTCATAATTAAATCACACATCTATGTTAAATAACGAAAGCTGCTAATAATATGCAAAATCTTTGTTTAACACAACATAACCTCTATTTATTAACCATGGCATTCAAGAAGAATATGGAAACAATGAAGTCTAAGAGGAAGGTTGTATTATTAAAGATTGAAATGGAAAAGGAACTTATCACGAAACATGAAAACAATACACATGTGGATCTGCAGCCATGCTTAAGATGCCATAGTCCACTGTATGCAAGTACAGAATCTGTTCAAAAAATAACTCAATTTTTTGAATTGAGCAGAAACAAAGTGTCCTAGTGTCGTGAAGTTGACAGCACTACATTCATGATAAGCTACCAAGCAAGCTGCTTTTTTTGGATTGTTGATATCTCATTTTGTTCCCGCATTTTTCTTTTTTGAGTGAAAGGTGTTTCAGCGTTTGTGGCAATTTTTGCAACATGCAATTTATGAGAGCGACGATGCAACATAAAGTTTGCAGGAAACTGGGGAAAACTTTTATGGAAACATTTCAACTTTTGAATCAACCTTATGGAGGCAATGCTCTAGGTTGTATACACTGTTATGAATGGTTTACTCGATTCAAAAGTGGTCATCAATTAGTTGAAGATGACCTTGACCAGGAAAGCCTTTGACCTCAAATGATGACCCACATATTCAAAAAATCAGAGTTGTACACTTTGAATTTTTGCCTCAAGTTCAAACAGTCAACCGTTAGTACTATACAGATGTGTTCAAACAATTGCGTAAAAAAATTTGCAAAAAGAGACCAGAGTTGTGGCAAGACAATACATGGTTCCTTCACCATGAAAAATTGCCTGCTCTCTCAGCCTTGTCAATTCATCAGTTTTGTGCCAAAAATCAAATGACTGTCCTCCCCAGCCTCCCTACTTGCTAGACCTATCTCCTTGTGATTTTTTTCTTGTTTACGAAATTAAAATCAGTGCCGAAAGGATGCCATTTTGACACAATTGATGACATTAAAACAAATTTGTCAAAGCATCGAAGGATCATCCGAAACAAGCTTACCGGGGCTGTTTTGCAAAGTGAAAACACAGCTGGGATGAGTATAAATAATGGGGGAGTACTTTGAAGGGGAAAGGACCAATAATCTGTAACTTGAAAAATAAAAATTAAAAAACTAAAGTTCAGTTATTTTTTGAATAGACCTGGTATTTACATATTTTATTTATTGTTTTTGTATTAATTTATTATTAGGACATTTGATTGTGTTATTATTATCTTAAATTACACGTATTGGTTGTTTTAAGTTTATTGAAATGAATTAATCAACTTTCCATTATTTATAACAGAAAAATTGCTTTGGACTTCAAACGATTCAGAGTTCGAACCAGGGCTGTGGAGTCGCGTAAAATTCTACCGACTCCAACTCCGACCAGGAGTGGACTTATTACTGAAAGAGACCCGGAAATTCTGATGTTATAACGTGACCTCAGAATAAAAGATTCAATAAATAGAGTTCTAATAAAGATAGAACGTAGAAACTTTTTATTCCAAAGCTATAAGACTCCTCTAAGTAATATATAAATATGTATTCGATAATTTTCACTTCTCTGGCTGTTATATATAACAGAGGGAAAGTGTAGCGCTTGGTCAAAAAATGTCCCCTCCCAAATTTTTACATTTTTGGACTTAGGACACCTTGAAATTTCGAGATATACAAAAGATTCAAGGTTTTTTTCTATATGTATGGATGTTAGACTGTGTGTGGGGCATGATCTTGTTCACCCTGTTTGAAGTCTAATAATTTCTGTGGTCAGAGTGGTCAGAATCGGAGTCAGATGGTTTAACACAAGAGTTAGTTATTAAACGTCAAAGTGGTTGAACTAAATCATGTCCCCATATACATTCTAACATCTTAGGCAAGAACGTCTTAACGGGTTTTACTGTACTGTTATAAAATGACAAAAAACTTACTTTGAGGGTAGAGACAAGTTTTATTTTATTATTATTTTTTTTTAAATTTTGAACACTAATAACAAGAAAAATATTCATTAAGAGATATGATACATGACCAATGTTCCCTCTAAGCTGCGTGGTCGCACACTGCTCAAATTGTTGCCGTGCACGAGAATTTATGTGCCACGCAGGTGAGCATGTACATTGATTTGAATTGTTGTTTACTTATTTCTCATTCTGTCCGCAACATGATTATTGCTGCATATATTTTGATTAAATACATTAAATCATTGACAAAAGATAATATTTTGTATAAAAGTATGTTTTAAAATGAATTTTATTCTCTACTTTATAATTAATAATTATTTTAATTTTTATAGGAAAAAATAAGATTTTATATATATGCTCAGAAAAATTTTTTGCTCAGAGAAGTATATGTTCTGCTCATCTACAAAAAAAATTAGAGGGAACATTGCACATGACCACTTTTATGTCTTCACTCTGTCAACCTTTAATTAAGAACCAAAATTTAATAGTATTAATGCCCCTTTATATGCAAGCTACAGTGCCACATTTCGTTTCTTAAATTTTACCCATTCTGAGATATTGTTTAATATCTCAGAACAGAAAATAAAGAAATTAAACAAATTAGATGCCAACACACACTTGCGTGAATTTTTCCCCTTTTATTCACTTTTTTGAGGGGTTTGGGAGGTCTCCAAATGTGTAGATTTGCAAAAGAAATTTGGAGGGTCAAATTTGACACAATTCCAATACTTTTCTGTTTTATATACATTACAAGTTGGGAAGTAAAAAGGATTTTTACTTCCTTTTTACTTTTGACGACTCCGACTTCGGCTAAAACACCAAAACTCCATGACTCCGACTCCACAGCCCTGGTTCGAACGGCCTTCCGGAACAAATTAATTTCAAACTACTGTAATATAAGGCACCACTGTAATGTCATTATGTATTTCCCAACAATATCTAATACTCAGAAATGTGATGTAAAATACACACTTCAACTAATATAAAGTTATAATTACAACAGATGTTTTATTATACTCAATTGTAGTCATATGCTGCTTTAAGTTTAGAAGATATCCAATTAATTAGTAGTAAGATAATCATATAAAGCAACAAATTGAAAATTTTATGTCATTTTCTGAATCAGACTGCTTAAGCATAATCAGCGTCATTTATTTGATAAAAAAAATATGTTACTATTAAAATACGTACCGATACGTTATTTTGATAAATCAAAAAACTTGTGAATTTTATTAAATCATACATGAAACTAATTTGAAATCGACAATTAGAAAGATAAATTCACCGGCGAATGATTATCGAAAAACTTCATTAGATACTTGAAAATGCTTACCCTCACATGTTGTTTGTTCAACAGACATAACTATATTTCGCTTTTACATATATATGAAATGTATAATTTTAATTTTTAAAGAAATATATTTATAAACTTTCAAGGACACGATCCTTTCTGCACTTCCCATTAATTAGAAACTCTTATAGCGCCCTCTGCGAATTCTATCATTAAATTAAAAAAATATTATTTTTGATTTATTTTATTTTATATATTGTTATCATCGAAAAGTATATATTGTATATACAGTATATTATTGAATTTTAAATTATAAATCGTTATGAAATATTAAATTGATAAAAATTATCGTGAAAATAATAATATTGTGTGAAACAGTGACGTGCCGTGACATTTGATGATAGGGAAGTTGTGTTTCTGTAAGAAGCAGTGGTCCCAACTGTTTCACACAATATTATGTGGCGACAAGTCGTTACACAATACAATGTGGAGACAAGTCGCCACAATAGCGACTTTTAGACGGACGTAGCGACGTAGCGTCGACCGCAAGCAAATCAACCAAAAATTGCGACTTTTGTAATTTTTTTTATTATTATTTTTGAGAAATATAAATTTATTTTTATACTTTTCAAATTTACAGATTTTTCATTACTTTATAGCGCTCTCTCGCAACGACTAATACTGTACAGTAAGACCACGTTTAACGCTGCCGCGTTTAATTCTACAGATGCAGACAGCTTAGCAGCAAGAAAATACATTGTACTGTACAGAATAAGTTTGTTAGAAACTCCTAATTTTCTACTATATATATAATTTTGTATATTTTTTGGTTTATTGTANGCTTTGTCACTTCGAAGCACGCATTGTTATTAAAGCTTCAACCTATTATAAATAAAGCTGAATGCAATAGCATTTTAACAAGACAGTTCAATTAATAGAAAACTGAAAATTTCGTACGTCTTTAGAAAAGGTAGGAATATAATATATTAGTTAAATAAGAACTTAATTAATTGCAAACACAGAACTAAATACAAATAACGAGTTTTTTAACACTTGTTCTTTAACTCGTTTTTGAATTTGTTTACAAATAATTATATTTTAAATAAAATATAATAAGTTTAATCATTTTGATTACGTATTTTATTAAATTTAGTTTGTTTATTGTTAACAGTTCGCAATTAAGTATTTTAAATGTGCTTCTCAATGGATAATATTTCTACCGTTATTTTATATAATATAAACCGTTAAAAACACTTATTTTGATATTTTAATATACGAAATATTTTATTTTATCGTCACGTATTTTTATAATGACAATAATCACATATTACACGAAATAAATTAAGTGAAACATAGAAGTATAGGAGAAAAAACAGGTAACACTTAAAACAAAATACTTTTACACTAAAGTTTCGTTCTAACACAGGACGAGCCTCGCATAATACGATATTTCTGAGCTTTTATAACGAGAATTACTGCCTGGTATTATGTTGGATGTAAGCTTTCAATACTATATATATATATATATATAAGGGAAAGTTGGGAAATGACGCTCAGAGTGTATGTTGAAACAGAATAGAATTATAAATGTCTAATTGATGTGACCAGGTAGTAAATGTCGTCATAAGTCTATAGTTACGTTGTAGTCGCCACTATAAGAAGAGTTTTTTCCTTTCGTAGGTTGTGTAAAAATGTACTCAAAGTTACATTTTACATGTAGAAGTTGTCATCAATAATGCACAAGTTTATTTCGTTATATAATATACATTGACTTTAGTTTACCAGGTTTTTTAAAAAAATTTTACATTATAAATATTTGGATGGCGGAACCATCACAAAGAAATTAATATAATACGCAAGAGCAAAAAGTTTGAGAACCGATGATATAGAGTATCAAACTACAAGTATATTTAAAACATATACGAGATCTGTCTAATTTATGAAAACTTAAAAAATATAATGATCAATTATTGTTTATAAATATATAGTGATTAGAAGTCATTTGAAAAGCGTAGTATTGATTTACTCTGCTACAGTTAAGCCAAACTATTTAGTGGAAAAATTAAAATAATTAATAGAATAAAATTTAGTAGACCATAGAAAACAAGGTGAGGGGGGAAAAGGAGATAAATGGGAAAAAACAGAGATAAAATATAAACTGCAAAATATTTTTTTTTGAGATAACATTATTGATGAATAATGTTATCATGTTTTCAAACAAGGTTGTTTGCAATATATCACGTCTTTACACAGCAATCTACTTTCTCAGTTTTAACGAAGTTCTTAGTAATGCTCTCTTGAGAACGAATTATTTTCAAATTATTGAAATTCTTTTTTAAACGCATTTGTTTAACTTGTTTTGTAAAATGTCCTCAAATCTTGCAACCCAAATTTCATCCGCTTCTAATTAAGAAGGCGGCTGAAACTTTGAGAACCTATCTAAATCTGATGACATTACATTTTAGTGATGTTTGCTGATGACGTATCTCACCATCATCCTCCGAAATCCGATAAACATACTTCTAAATTCTACTATTAATTTATATTAATATGAATTAATCATCAACAATATTTTGATTACGTTTCAAAGGTTTTAATTATATCAACAGTAAAACTGTTGATATAATTAAAACCTTTAGCATACTTTGAATTCTAAAGAATTCCTACAATAAATTATCGCGTATCCGAATCAATATTTCGATTTCATTAGTATTAATTCTATTATTGTTAATCTATGGATTTTAATTATTGTCAAAATTAAATGAAATTATTGAAAAATGTTTATTTTTTCTAATAAGTCTTTGCAATTGTTCTTGGAAAATATATTAAGATTTATATAGACATGATTTCTTATAAATGTACAAATAAATTCAAAATAAATTTTCAAAACATTGAATAATTTGATTGGATATGGCAACGTAACAGAGGGCAATCTGCCAAAGGGGAATTTCTCTAGAAGACTTTTTACAGGAAATTGGCCCCTATTCTAGACGTAAAGAAACTCAGAAAACTTCATGTATCATTATACAGCTATATGTCAATTGTAGGATCAAATTTAAAAAGAAAACTAAATTTTAAATGTAAACTTAGAAATTATGAACTGTAAAAAGTGTCCTCCTTCGTACATTTCCTGATGGTGTACGAAGGAACCACGGAGGAGGACACTTTTGCAGTTCGTCAACTGAAATTTTTTTGTAAATTTTCTAAGTTTTTTACGTATTGTCCCGGAAAACAACCTTTTTTATTAAATGCCTAAACTTTTAAATCTTTGGCACTGTATTTATATTTAATACTTTTTTATAATAGACTAAAAGACTTACGAAAATAATTTTATATAATTGGATGGTTTTTAATTCAAATTATAATATCAAACGTNGCGATTTTCGAATACGAAAAACATTGTCGATATTTTCGGAGTTATTTCTGGAATTTATTTGCGTTGGATATAAAGGTGAATAATATTTTGACAGACTACACAATATTCTGTACAAATATCTTTATAAAAATAAAATTATCGATCTCGAAATTTGTCATTAGGTAATCATAAGGCACTTAAACTTAATTAAGAGCAAAGAACTAGAATAAGAAATTAATTTTAAGATAGATTTCCATATCTTAAACTGATTTTGAATAGAATATATTTTATCACGATGCAGACATGGACGAGGTTGATTAATAATAATAAACATAAATCTTTACGAAATCCGAATAGTTTGTTTCAGGGTTGTGGAAGGAGTCGTGGAGTTTTGATGTTTTAACCGGAGTCGGAGTCGTCAAAAAATCCGCCGACTCCGACTCCTTTTTACTTACCAACTTGTTATGTATATAAAACGGAAAAGTATTGGAATAGTGTCAAATTTGACCCTCCAAGTTTTTTTTTGCAAATCTACACGTTTGGAGACCTCCCGAACCCTTCAAAAAAGTCAATAAAGGGGAAAAATTCGCGCGNTCTAATAAGTCTTTGCAATTGTTCTTGGAAAATGTATTAAGATTTATATAGACATGATTTCTTATAAATGTACAAATAAATTCAAAATAAAAATTTTCAAAACATTGAATAATTTGATTGCCCTCTGTTACGTTGCCATATCCAATCTGCCAAGGGGGAGTCTCTCGAGAAGACTTTTTACAGGAAATTGTCTCCTATTTATGTACTAGACGTAAAGAAACTCAGAAAACTTCATGTATACAGCAATATGTCAATTGTAGGATCAAATTTAAAAAGAAAACTAAATTTTAAATATAAACTTAGAAATTATAAACTGTAAAAAGTGCCCTTCTTCGTACATTTCCTGATGGTGTACGAAGGAACCACGGAGGAGGACACTTTTGCAGTTCGTCAACTGAATTTTTTTTGTAAATTTTCTGTTTTTTACATATTGTCCCGGAAAACAACCTTTTTTATTAAATGCCTAAATTTTTAAATCTTTGGCACTGTATTTATATTTAATACTTTTTTATAATAGACTAAAAGACTTGCGAAAATAATTTTATATAATTGGATGGTTTTTAATTCAAATTATAATATCAATTGTATACTGACAAATCGAAGAAATTTGTTACTATGAATTATATATTTGCAATTGTTAATTTTATCAGGTTACGTTCTTATAGAATACTGGAATAAATTAAAATGCAGCATAAATTAGAGTGGCTATTGTAGCGTATGTGTGATCTAGATGGCAGNGTTCGTTTCATATGAAACGAAATACACTATTGGTTTACTTACTTAGTTGCTTGTCACTTCGAAGCACGCACTGATATTAAAGCTTCAACCTATTATAAATAAAGCTGAATGCAATAGCATTTTAACAAGACAGTTCAATTAATAGAAAACTGAAAATTTCGTACGTCTTTAGAAAAGGTAGGAATATAATATATTAGTTGAATAAGAACTTAATAAATTGCAAACACAGAACTAAATACAAATAACGAGTTTTTTTAACACTTGTTCTTTAACTCGTTTAGAATTTGTTTGCAAATAATTATAGTTTAAATAAAGTATAATAAGTTTAATTATTTTGATTACGTATTTTATTAAATTTAGTTTGTTTATTGTTAATACTTCGCAATTACTTAATTAAGGATTTTAAATGTGCTTCTCAATGCATAATATTTATACCGTTATTTTATATAATATAAATCGTTAAAAACACTTATTTTGATATTTTAATATATGAAATATTTTATTTTATCGTCA